TGCAATGTATAAATTTTTTTTTTGCTCTGCTGGCTCGGTCCAACCGGCCCTCAGGCCAGACCGGCCCACCGGGCATTTGCCCGGTCTGCCTACTGGCCAATCCGGGCCTGGCTGTTTACATAGATTTTTTCAAGCAACATTCGGTCATGTGTTATTGTGATTTATAACGGAAAACCTCCGGCTAGTTTCAAGTCGATTAACACTAGAAAGACTGAAACTTAGTATACACCTATCTTGCCTAAAAGCAGTCAAAATGACTGGATTGTAAAAGAATAAATAATGCGTAAAAAAATTTGTTTAAAATTAATTTTTAATATTTTTTTATGTCATTTACAGTTATATAACTAGTTATTAGTAAATATTAACAATAAAAAAATTATATGTTATACAAAACTCTAAGAAATCGTGTCATTATAATACATCATTGTTTTTCTAATTCAAATTAAAAGCAGTCAAAATGCAGCCTCAGGCAATCTAGTGTAAATGCAATGATAACAATAATACAACGACCTCATGCTATACTTTAATTCAATTTTATATTGTTCATTGCATTCTAACGATCTTTTTTGAAGTTATACTGAACTCCATGATAATTTTGAAATAATAGTACGAACCTTTATTAGAATAATAATTTCAATATCTATTTCACGAATAATAATAATGTTTTTATCATTCTATATCTGTTATATAGATGAACAGGTGGCACTGGTTTGAATAAAAATCAGATAGTCAGAAATCAGATAGTCAAAAACTTATTTCAGTTCAAAAGTTAGGACAAATAATTTAAGTTTTGATATAAATATGGCAAATTTTATTAATTGTGTTTTAAGTAATTACTTTTTGAATTGTAAAAAGTATTTAGATATGCAAAAAAGGTTTACTTTATATTAATTTTAACCGTAGATTTATCTGTTGAAATAATATCGTTGCGATCGCGAATTTCAATAACTATGGATTTTAAATTGTTTGGTCCTATGAAATACTCTTAGAAAGATTTATTAGTGTGATTTTTGTTCAAATTAGCATGAAATTTTACGATTCATAAGAGTTTTCTGTAATTTATAAATTCTGACAGGTCGTGGGCCTAAAACAAATTTAAGGAAATTAATATCACAACATAAATAAAGTGTAACGTTTGCCATGTTCTGAGCGTTATCCCGTATTTGGCTATAATTATGAAAAATATCTCCAGTTGTTATTCTTTTAGGTAGAATAGTTATTCTTTTAGGTTAGTTATTCTTTTAGGTTCTTTTAGGTTATTCTTTTAGGTCATTACACCTTTACTGAAAAATTTTGGTATTTTTGAGATATAAGACAAGTATTTTTCAAATGTATAAATGAGGTTGTTATTAAAATACTTTGTTAGGTTGATAAACACCCTTAAATTTACCTCAAATACACGTTAAATATACTTCCAGAGGTATATTTGTATCAACTTAGATGCTTCATCTTACATCTGTGGAGAGGTAGATATTTACTATTTTAAGGTGTTTCGTTTTCAACCTTAGGTTATTAGTTATATACCTGAAGTATATTTTTTTACACCTGTGGAAGTATTCATTCAACAACCCTAAGGTGTTTCATTTAACACTTCAGGTTATTCTGGATCTACTTCAAGAGTATTTTTTAACAGTTGCAAAGGTAATTTTTTACTATTGTGAGGTGTTTTATGTTCTACCCCAGGTTATTATATTTCAACCTCAAGTGTGTACTTCTTGCTTGTGGAGGTATTTTTTTATCAACTTAAGGCGCTTCATTTTACACATCAAATTCGATCGAGATCAACCGCAAGTGTGTTTTTTGACCGTTGGATAGGTTGCTTTTTCATGAACGTGAGATGTTCCTCTTTAGGTCATTATTTTTGAGCCTCAAGAGTGGATTTATATGGATGTCGTTTTCAATATAAATGTAAACAACAATCTCAAGCTCTGGATATGCTCTACTTACGGTTTGAAAGTATACTGATGCTTACTACAGCTTACTCAACGAGGCGATATTTCAAACAGATAACTTAATTTTTAATAAAAGAAATAAATTATATAATTTTTGAGCTCAAATCTGCTGTATTTCATAAGATATCAATGATATTAAGTAATTCTGGTGAGTTTAAAGTAAACATTTGTATTAGTTACTCAGTGATATATTGTTAAAAAGATGACATGGCTGCTAGATTTAGAAAGAACTCGTTTTTTTTTTTTTTTGGGCAGTTCTGATTATGATTTTTTATTGTTTACTACTGTTTATTTCTGGTGTAAGCCATGCACCATCATAAGAAGGAACATGCCAAACACATCTGAAAAATATTAGTGAATATACAGAAAAAAAAATATGTATCCTATCTTCTTATTAGAGTTAAAACCTAATGCCTGTAAAATCACTCTACTAAATTTAATGAACTTGTATGAAAAGTCTATTTAAAGTTTGCATTCCATACTTTTCTGAATAATAGAACTTCAAACATTAAAATATGCAGAAGTAGACACGGCGCATGATGTTGTATCATTTAATTTTGCAAAAAAAAAAGTTTTTTGACAACAATTTTTAACAGTCGAAAAAAAATCATTATTTATTAACGTATGATAAAGAATGTTCACGATAAAAGAAAATAAAAAAACGATCCCAAAATTCCTCATATTGAAATAAAAGATTTTCAGATTGTTTTCCTTTTTTTTTTAAAAAAAAAAATTCTAAATCAGACGTAGAAAATAATTCTGTAGAAAACTATTATCAAATTAGAAAAAAAAATACTTACAAGTAAATTTTTTATTATTAAAATCATAACACTTACTTGCTTTATTAATTCGGAGAATTCCAAAATGAAATGTTCTTCGTTTGAAAATTTTGTTCTTAAATAATATATACATAGATTATCCTTTTATTAATTAAAGATGACACACGATGCAATTAAATTTTATAACTGTAAGATCTCGATATGAATTTGAATATGTAACTTAAAAACAGAATAGCGGAATTCCAGATAAAATAAATCATTCAGAATTAAAAAAAATACTTACCAGTTCTGCACTTCTGAAATCACATTTATTTATATGGACTGAGGTAAGATATGTGGAGTTAAATAACTTCACTATAATTTATAATGAATTGAAGGGGAAAAAATGTATTTTACCTTTAAATGTATTTTACAAAGAAAAAAATGTAATTATAGTTTTCGGAGTTCTGCCTTTTTCTTAGGAAAATTTTGCTTCCTATTTGCTGCTGAAAAACATTGCTTCTTACTCTACCAATGATTCTGATAGAACTAAATGAAAACTTAATAAATAAAGGCTTGAAAAATTCCTCCCCGGGTATCGAGCGTTGCGATCGCGAATTGGATTGAAGTAAGCAATTTGGAATGAAAAAATTTCCTTTTAATTTATAATGAATTGAAGAAAAAAAAAGAAAAAAAAATGTATTTTACCTTAATACACATATCTTTAACAGTATGCGATCACGAAATCGGAAGTTATCGGTTACAAGTTTGTTGATAATTATCAATATTAAAGGATAATTATCCATTAATGGAATGGAAAAAAATTATTGAGAAATTGTTCTTCAAATGTTGGACGCGTTCTGTTTCCGAATGATTTACCAATGTTCTGAGTCGTCTTTTCAAGTTTGTCTGCATTTTCCTCAGGGAAATTCTCCTTCTTATTTGCTGCTAAAAAAGTATTCTTCTCTACCAATGATTCTTAGAACTAAATGAAAACTTAGTAAATAACAGCCTGAAAATATCGGCCTCGCTAGAGGGCGTATTTAAGCGTTATGATCTCGAATAGTGAATATCGTTACATTTTTTCACTAGTAGATCTTTATTTATCAATCTAAAGTTTTAAATATTACACCTTCGGCAGTAATTCAACAGTTTATTATGTGAGATACAGATACTTTCCGAATTTCGCATAAACTTTCGATTGTCAACACACACGCCATTCACCGGCTTGCGTGGAATTCTTGGAAGTGAGCTAGTTAGAATGAAGTGAACTTTAAGCAACCTCAAAATAAGCCTAGGTATAAATAAAATGTGACTTCATAAATCTCAATAAATTCCTGAAAATTATCTCATCAGATTGGTTAATATAAAGTAAATGTAAAACATTATCTAAATGAGCTGAAGTATCATATATATAACCTCTCACACCTAATTTAAAACCCTCATTATGAAGTATAATTTTTATGTTTGTTTTCTTACAAAACTCGAATATACCTCAAAATAACGTCAGCAACTCAAATTAATATCAAAAGTTCCATAAATTTTCGAAAGAGCATGCTTTCTGGGTCTTCTGGATGAATTTGTTATGTTGAAAGTTACATTGAAGGAATGCGCGACATTGAAAATACTACATACGCAATAAAATGCGGAATGACGTGCTTTTCCAAGCTTAACGTAAAAAGCAATCGAAAGTAGTTATCCGGAAGTCTTAACAAAGAATTTTAACCTATAGCTCCCTCTGTGCTTAGCTTTAGATTGCCAACCATCAAGAACAGTTTAACGCGAATCGATACTGCGTAACCTCTTTTCCTACGCACTACGCACGTAGGTAGATCAAAGTGATTACCGTCATACTTAATGGTACTGCAGTGGACTAATTGTAAAGGCACGGTTCCCAGTGCAAAACCGAAGTCAAGTATCACTGGCTGGTCACTAAGCAGGTGGATGATCGCTTTGATCAGCCTGAGTAGGGACTGAGGGTGCTCGGAATCGGTCCTCATTAAACTGTTCTACCGGAAAGTGCTCGACTTCGCGAGCAGATTGTCGGGCTACCGAAGCAGGGGAGCCATCCCCTCTGCAGAGGATCGAAATTGCGAAGGCATGTGTTTGGATCATCCCCTACGTTTTTGCTCACGAAATGGGCAATATAACAAAAATACACTTCAACTTCTACTCTAAGCTGTACGTTGCGCTATTAATATGAAATCCATTTAAAATTCGTTTTAATCGTGCATTGCGAGATAGTATTCGTGTTATCTTATTTAGTTTCTGCAATTAATTTTTTATTCAAAATCATGATCTTTGCTTTTGCTTTTTGCATAAAAACTGAGTTAAATTTTTTAGAAAACAAGTGATTTTGCGACAGTTTGCATCGCCCTCTTTTGGTAATTTTGGGCTTAACTGTTATCTGGAAGTCGTAAATTTATGTTACCGATTCACGTAGTCTTGTGACTGCATTTCTTATTGATAGAGGACAAGTGTAAGGAGGTATTTAAAATATAAAAATAAAGGGCGTTTTAATATTATTGAATTTCAATTTATTATTGTAAATTATTTAATAATTAAAAGTAAGTACAATTTTTATTTTTTTAGGTATTTGTTTAGATATTGATTGTAATATGTATTTGATTTTAAATAGTCTCTTTAATCAGTCCAAATATTGTGAATTAATATCATCGGTTTTTATTATTAATCATTTGATTCTCTAATAAATATATGTACTATTTTGAATGTATGCATTTTTTTTATTAAAATAATCTTCAATCATAGTTCTTAAATCTATTGTAATCTTGTTTCAGGGATTCGTAACTTCGGGTCGTAGTTTACTTAAATAAAAAAATGACTAAAGGACTACCTAAAATTTCTGATGTTGAAAAAGAGACAGAATATGGATACGTCTTTGCGGTATCCGGACCTGGTAAATTTATCTTTTTCTTTGTAAAAAAATTGTATTTCATCAAAGTTATATAATACCAATTGCAGGTCTCTGTAGATGTGTACTTTATTTTTATTTTCTGCTACATATGCTATACTCATTTGTATAGATTTTTTATCAAGTTTAAAAGTTATCTAAATCTTCTATTTGTTAAAGCATCATAAAATATTCTAAAATCTTTATGATTAAATTTGTCTCACACTAGGCATAATTGGAAGATATTTGATTACCTAACATTGTTTGATGTTGATGTGTTGCTTTCTGAATTTTAGAGTTTTCAAGTTACGATAACTCCCTACTCAATTTAATGAAATATCTTTTAATGTTTTCTTACAGTGCATTAATTTAGTGTTCATTTTCTTGCATATATTACCAGTTGATTGTTAAAATCTATAAATATGAATTTTTTGAATGTAAAACTACTATAAATGGGGAGATTTCCGCAAAACTGTGGCAACTTCTTGGCAGAGGTCTGCAAGAAACTGAAGAAAAAAAGAAAAACATCACAGAAAGAAGCCAACTAGAAAGGTATAAGTTGTAGCGGGGTCCCCAGGCAAAAATCTTCATATTTTTTTAAAAAAGTTTTCCTTTTAAAATCAATTTCGATTGTAGATGATGTGACTGATCACTATACAGAAATATCCCCATAAATTATTTTATTGCTTGGGTTTGATTAAATTCAGTTCATGTAGGACACAGTTGAATGATCTGATTTACTTTTCAATGTTAACATTAATTAAGCTCTTTCTTAAAGCTTTAAAATGTTCAAATTTACTGTTCAATTAAATAGTGCTATTATGATTTTCCCGTTGTGCATTTATGTAATGCCTGTTTTATCATTGCAGATAAATATCTTATATTTTAGAATTTTCAACTCTTTCAGTCTCATTAAACCTAAAAAAATAGCAGTAATATGTTATTTTTTTTGATCTTCATACTTTTTTTTAGTTCTTTGAGTTGGTGTTTTTATTCACAGGACATAATGGGTAAATTTGTCAAATCCAGTGCTTTGACAGACTATTTATTGAACTGTTCTATTAGCATTTGGAGTATTTTAGTTGAGAGTATAAGTAAAATGTTCTATTATATAGACCCAAAAAACTGTTATCATTGAACTTGTACTATAGTGTTACGACATTTATGCAATTGTGAGTTCTATAAATGCATGAAAATTATGGATAAAATTATATCAGTGAAGGAATGGGATATCTTCAATTAGGGTAGATGCAACTCAGTGGGCACTGCATGATTACGCACACACATGGGTGATTCTCACGAAACATGACAATTCACTGTCCCTTGCTCCAAGATCTAATACTATAATACTAAAAGAACTTTTTTTTAAAAAAAATTAATAAATAGCAATGCTGTTAGCATTTTAAAATGACTTTGCAATAGCATTGACTGTTTTGTATACTTAAAATTTTTTATTGAATATCAAAATGTCATTTTTTTGGCATGTCCCAAACAATATTTCCAATAATAACTAGCTTCAAAACTTCCCATACATTTTTCAAAATCTAATTTTTTTTATCTTATCCTATATAAGCATTTCTAGAATATATGCAGAGGGCATTGTTTACTAAAACTCCGTTTAAAATAATTTTTTCTGTCTATAATTTGTTTGTCCCATGAAAATCTGTCATTTTCCTGGCTACTTTTATTTAGTGATTTGTAACCAAAATAGATAGCACCAGGAATCAATATCTTATGCTAATAGATTGATTAGATACCCTCCTATATGAACATGTCTTGTTGCATGAATGAAGAACCAATTTTTTGGCTCAAAATCTATTTCAAAAATTTTTTCAAAGTGAGTAGGTTTTTATGCTGTCATTTTCCTGGCTTCTTGAAATCATTAATAACAAAAACTACATAGATTTATCTGAGTTATTTTAAGAAATACTGTTGTTTTCTGCAGAATATAAACGTCTTCGGCCAAAATATTAAATTAAAGTTATATGCTATAAAATGGCAAATTTGTCATTATCCTGGCTGTCATTTTCCTTTCTTATGAAAGCCAGGACATTGAAGTGTTACCAGAAATTCTTTTTAACTGCTAATATTGTAAAGAGAGAAAGCAAATATTAACCTAATACCAAGTTTATGTATAATTGTAATATGCTTGCATCTAATCAAAGTTATTTATTTATTTAATGATTGATTATTATGCACAATTTTATTCTGTACATATCAGCAACAAAACTTTTTTTGTTTCTTTGTGCAGTGGATAAAAAGAATTAATTTAAGCAATTTATGGTCCATCTAACATAGAGGCTTAAGTTGAGTTATTTACTATTAACTTAAAATGACTGTTTTTTAAACTTCTAAGGTAATATGTCATTTTCCTGGCATTCAAGATTTGGTGAATTTCTATTTTATTTTTTTTCTCGAGCAAATGTCAATAAACTACACTGCTGTCTATAAGATATTAATAAGTGTAGCTAAAGAAGTACACAAAAAAAAAAAAATGTTAGATTATTTTGAAGACTTTAAATTTGAAGAAATTTTTTGGTCCGAATCGCCATGTTTCACCTTGTCATGAGAATCACCCTCATATATATATATTTATAAAAAGATATAAATAGCCAAAATATAATAAAAATTATTGTAACTTCTCAGCATCCAACAACTATATAATAGCTTCTTAAAATATTTCTTAATATTTTCGACATTTATATTTCAAAATTATATGTATGTATAAGTAGTTAAACGTACACCATAGGGACTGAAAAAGTGCCCGCTTGAGAGGGTTGTCCGGTTACGGGAAGGGTATATATTAATAACAAAATTTAACACCTTAAATTGTTCTTAGAATAATTACATTGATATTTAAATAATTATAATAACTATTTGCAATATTTATTCAAACTTCAAAAAATACTTTTTTCAATACATAAAGAATGTATGAAAAAGTTTGATATATGTCCATAATTCCAGATGTGGCTACAGACAAATGAATGTTTCTTTTTATTTACACATGCATTCATGTTGATCATATGATACTGATTAGGCACTTTTAGTCTTTCATTACTTCTTCAGTTGGTTTGATTTTAAGTTTACATCCCCTTACACCTCCCAAGCAAGATTTTTTAGGAAATCTTCAACATGTACTTATTGCAACTCACAACAAGACATTCATCACTTAATTTTTCAATGTCCTAAATTTCAAACGCGACGAGGCAACAATTTTCACAACAAAACAGAACACCAGATTTACTCTAACCTGAACTGTAGATCAATCATCAAAGACATTATCAAAACAACTTTGGAAGATACATTAAACCCACTGTCTAAATATCTACTAACTCTGGCCGTCCAACTAGCGTATGGATCAGCATTTCCATTTCTCCTGAGTCAACTCTAATTTTCTCGCTTTAATTACCTCATCACCAGAGACTCTAGTTCGCCAATTTTGATTCTCAGAAAGGTTTTGATGACTATCCTTTAAACTGGACTTTTAGTGACTTTAAAATTTTTTAAATCTCATGGTGTTCTTAGGTTGGATTTGAACTGTCCTCCTCATTCACACCATTTTAATCCACTTTTACTATTTCAACACTATTTTTGGTGATTTTACTATTTGTAACTCGTTTAATTGTTTCCTTAATAGGCAATTTGCCCTAGAAAGCAGCAATGCTGCAATACATATCTGCAAGACTGGAGGCCCTATGGAGTTGTTATATTCACAATTGATCTCCTGTCAAATGTCAGAATAAATGTTTCATTCATATGAACACCTCAATAACTAGATTTCTATTATCTCTCTCTCTCTTTTTTTTAAACCGAACACTGCTAAATACAGTCTCCAAATTGATTAGAAGTAGATAGGAATTTTTAGTGGGGAGGAAGAATTGAGAGCATTTAAAGGATGATTTCAGCTTGTGGGATCTCATAAATAGTATGGTCCAGAGGAACAGATCAAAAGATGTCTCTTTCAGAAATATTTCATGTGAACAGTATCATTATCCCTCATTTCTTAGCAAAGATTCCCTCTCATTTCTTAGCAGGTGACAGGAGTATGATTGATTCTTTGGTCCAGAAATAGTTTAATAATATTTTTAGTTGTGAATAAGATTTAGATTGTGAAAAAATTTAGATGCTTTAAAAATGGTGAAAAGTTGCATATTTAATTCATTAAATTAAAACAGATAGTTGAAGAATTTAAAGCAGAAACTTTAGAAAAATTCGTCTCCGGTTTGAAGAGATAAAAACTAATGCTTCAGGCATAAATGACTGTCTTCATCTGGTTATGGGAGTGTCCGCTTTGTAGAGAAGGTTCACAATGATTTATTCATAGAAGAATCAGAAGGGTATTTAAAAAATGTGCATAATAAAAAGTATCTGTTTTGTTGGATAATTTAAGTTTGAATTCCTCTTGTTGTTGTCCTCTTGTACAGCTTTTAAATTATTTTGTCTTTTTCAATTTTTTAAATGAATTAAACACAACTATAGATTACACAACAATAAATTATAGATTAAAGTGGATTTTACAACTAAAGAAGCGCAATGACTAAAATAATATTTTGAAATATTATGAAACATTAATCTAAAAAAAATATTACTAAATCCTTAGCAAAATTTTTGAAATTGTTTGTTTTTCGAATGCACCAATAAATTGTTCTCACAAACAAACATGAAAGTCAATAAAATCTTTACTAAACCCTTTTAAAAAAAATAACTAAGAAAAATAAGAAACATTAAAGGCATTATTTTGATTTATTTATTCTTAGTTTGAATTATTAAGTGCAACTTATAAAAACTGAATTTAAAAACTACATAATTTTGGATAAAGAATGAAAATTTGAATAAAAAAGCCAAAGTAAAAAAAAATAGATGAAGGTTGACATGGTCAGTGTGACTCACCCACATTGGTGACCCATCACATCCGGGTCACCAATGTGAGGAGAGGAGTAGTTATTGACAATGTCAACCTTCATCTATGAAAAGATACCTCACCATAGAATCGAGTTAACATGTCTTATATATACTAATGAATTGAAATTGTATTTTTGTTGTGGCAGACACACTACAATCAGTTATAAATAGTTGTATTAATGAAATTGCTTAGTCCTTATTTCAAGTCATTTATAAGTCTTCTGCAATTCCTGTTATAATATTGGGATTATACTATGCTGTAGTCATTATTTACGTCAAAATCGAAAACAAATTTAATGAATTCGCTGTAGCTACCTGAACTAGTCAATTTTAGTTGAAATATTTTTCTTTGAATTTATTTTCTGATTAAGATAATATCTTAAAAAATGTTTGTAATAATTTCATGTAGTCGTTACTGCGGAGAAAATGTCAGGTGCAGCTATGTACGAATTGGTGAGAGTGGGGCATTCTGAACTTGTTGGTGAAATCATCCGTTTGGAAGGAGAGATGGCAACCATTCAAGTTTATGAAGAAACTTGTATCCTTTTTCAATAGTGATAATTTATTGTTAATTAACTGTATTTGTTATTGCTTCAAGATCTGACCATAAGTTTTTCAACTGATTTAATATTTATTGAAAATATTAGTTGAAATACTTGTATTTAATCTCAAGTCAAAATTTTTGATGGTTTTTCATTAATGGACCAACATTGTCCATCAATAATTCCAACATGAACCATTATATTCTTTGATCATAACCAACATGATTAACCATCACCCCAATGTAGGAATTCGGACTGACTTATGATGGTCCAACATAAGAAAAGCAACTTGTTTTGATGTTCGTTTATGTTAAACCATCAAATTTCCATCATAGTTTCTTAGAAATCAAATGTTGGAACGATTATGAACAACCATCATCCCAATGTAAGAATTTCGGACTAATATATGATGGGCCAACTTAAAAATAGTTGTTTTGATGGTATATTCCATAGAACCAACAAGAATTTCCTTTAAGCTATCATGGAAATATATAGTTGAAACCATCATGGACCATCACATATCATTATGGATGATGGTGACCATCAAATGATGTTAGACCATCATGAATCACACTGAAACCAGCATAAACCATCAAAATGTTTTGATGGAACTATCAAGAATTTTGACTTGGTTTCAAAGCACTTTGGAACTCTGTTGTAAAAGTTTCAGAAAAAACTTTTTAAGTCCTTTTCTGGAATGCTTTCAAATCTGATAATTGGTTTTCCTAGATGAACATCGTTAAACATTGTTTCTTTAGCAAATTTTTTTGTTTTGTAAGGTTGCGAAAATAAGTCATTCACCAAACTCATCGGCCAAACCTCTTTAAAACCTTTTGTTTCCAAAATTTAAGAAAGAAAGAAAATTGCTATAAGATATTGAAGTCATTAAGAAAACCCAAAGTCAGCATTAAAAAGCATAAAAAATTAATTAAAAGCTATGTTTAAAACTTTTATATCTAAATGCAGAAGTTGATGTTACATTGAGTAGAGGTCAGTTTGAAACTTATTAAATGGGGACAATATTCACATAATGTTTTCAGGAGTGGTAAGATCAGTCCTGGAAATGAATGACTGCACTTGTGTATTGTTGTCATTGTTTATTTTGTTTAGAATAATTTAAATTTTTCTGGCGAATGTTTAAAAATGCTTCAATATTTATTGCTTTATTATTTAAAATATTGTTCTAATAAGTAATTATTTTTAAATGTATTATGAAAAGCTTTTATATTTTGCCGTTCTAATACACCAATGTGCAATCTTAAAAGAAATTTAGTATGTTAACAATATGGCTTTAAAAGATTTTTTTTAAAAATCTATTTAGAAGTTCCAGAAACTTATGACCTTGTAAAATTTTTTAAAACTAATTTAAAAGAAATTGATCTTCTATGTAAATTTGTATACTCGTGTTCCTCTTTGTTTATTCATGATCAGTAACAGTCATAGAAAAATATTTAAAAACTTAGCAGATATTTTGAATAACAGTAGTTTAAAAGTATTTTAATAAAGAATAAATAAGAGGGTAGGAAACAATTAAGGATAAAGAAAACGTATTTAGTTTCTAAAAAAGATAGCTTTATAATTTAAGATGTTGATGGCTTTAGTGATTTTTCCCTTATTATTAAATGAACGTTTTGTCAATGATTAGAGAATTCCCTACAAATTTTGGATAGATATTTAATGATCAGAAAGTTAGAATAAAGTAAATTTGTATTTGTGTTTTTTTTAAATTAAAAAAAAATTGTTTTTATAGTTATAATGGATTTTTTTAAAAATTCTTTTTTTCCATTTCTTACTGTTCACATAAAAGGTACAAAACCTCAGATTTAAAAAAAAAAAATATTTAATTTTTTAAATAACGAGACATTTTGATGCATCCNCATAATGTCCAATTGGGTTTTTTTAAATTAAAAAAAAAAATTGTTTTTATAGTTATAATGGATTTTTTTAAAAATTCTTTTTTTCCATTTCTTACTGTTCACATAAAAGGTACAAAATCTCAGATTTAAAAAAAAAAAATATTTAATTTTTTAAATAACGAGACATTTTGATGCATCCTGTTAATTATAAATAGACATATTTTATTAGAGTTGCATTATATGTATAATGATAGGTGTGATCTGTGAGAGGACAAATAAGAAATTGGTATTTAAATTCTTTTTTTAAGGTAGAAAAGAAAAAGAAAAAAAAGAAAAAAAAAGAGATCATTTTAAAATATAAATAAAAATATTTATTTCATTAAATAATTATTTTTTTTCCAGAAATTTTGTAAAAAACTTTTTTTCTTTTTTCATACTTTTATGTTTTTCTTGAAGATAAAATGTATTTTTTTTTAAAACCATATTTGCGATTACCAGCTTTTGTTCCCTTTTTTTGTGTGGTTATCTTTGAAATTGAGATTTATTGCATTTAAAACATTCTTTTTCCTTTTTTTTCTGTGAAAATTTCAACTTCTACAGAAGTAATTTTAACTTCTTTTAATTTTAAATTTTAATCAAAAGCAAATTTAACTACTTCATAACTTAGACTTAATTAATTAAGAATTATTTGTCTGAATTTCAGAACTTACACTTGAGCATCAGTAGGGTTTCTGAGTTTCTCAGAAAATTAATCAGAGTGTGTTTAAATAGAAAGGTTGTATTTTTGTTATATTGAGTGTTTCAGAATGTAAAATTATGTAACTTGAAAGTTATTTCAAATTTTTTTTATTTAATATATTTTTTGCCTTTCAAGATTTTTGTATAACAACTATTTTACAGCAATGCAATATCCACAATAAAAAATTTGAAAGTGGTAACTTTAGCTACTCAATTAATAATTATTTAATTTTATTTAATTACTTTATAAAAATAAAATAATGATTAAGACACTTATTTAATAACAATTATATTTTATAATAACAGTCAGGAAATTTTATAAAATTTGAAATCTGTTGCTTTAAAATATTTAATTAATTTCTTCAAAATAAAGTAAGAGCAATTCAAGCAGGATAACAATTATTTTTCTGTGATAGATCATAAAACATTATCAATAGTTTGAAATCTGTAAACAAATGTTTCAGAATGTTACTCAAAAATGTATTTTTATTTTTTAAAAATAAGATAAGATCAAGAGTAATAGTTATAGAGTAATAGTTATTTTACAGCAATTGTTCGTAAGTTTTGTAAGATTTTGAAGTAAATTTTTTTTTTACTAAAATATATAAATCTTTTAGTTTTTTTTTCCTTCAAATTTTAACATACAGTTAATCTCAGAATTAAAGTTATTAATTTCCTTAATTAAAATTCTAGCTGGTGTAACTGTAGGTGATCCAGTATTAAGGACTGGTAAGCCATTGTCAGTTGAATTAGGACCTGGTATTATGGGTAGCATTTTTGATGGTATTCAGCGACCCTTGAAGGACATTAATGAAATTACCTCTAGTATATATATTCCTCGAGGTATAAACATTCCTGCTTTGAGTAGGGAAATTCAGTGGGAATTCAATCCTATTGGATTTAAGGTAATATAAATTCCACTGTTAATAATCTTAATCTATGCAGTATAGGGTAAAGTGGGTATAAAATCAAGCTTTTTTTTAAAGAAGGCAATAGAACCAAACCATTAAACTTATTTTACTGAAGACTGAGGCATTTTATATACATTGGATTCATATAGATTACATGTGAGGCATAACTTATCTATTTCGCTTGATTGTTTTCTTATGGTAATGCATTAAAAAGAACTTGTGATGTACCCACTTTATCCCAGAGTGAGGTAAAATGGACTAAGAAATGTTTGCAAATATTGTTTTAGAAATGAAAATGCTTCTAAATAAATGTACTATGATTATATTTAAAAAAACGAATGTTAAAGAATAATTTTTTTTCTTCTTCGGGATATTAAATTAAAGAGTTGATGGCAAAATTAGGTTTCACTTCTGATGCAGTATGCTTTGCCAGGGTTCCTACATGGTCAGGAAAACCTGCAGAACCTGCAAAAGTCAGGATATTCTAAAATTAAGCTAAAAAGTCAGGAAAATGTCAGGATTTTTCTTACATATTCATAAAGTCAGGAAAAAGTCAGGATTTTTCTTTCATATTAATAAAGTTAGGAAAATTAAAAAATAACTATAGTTCATTCAAAGACTGACAAGCAAAAATAAAATTTCAAGGAAAAATTCTGTAATTCAAAATATGTAATTTCCTCATAATAACAATCCTCTTTCCCTGGTAGAACCTGTCCTGTTAGCAATTTTCCTCCTGTTTATCCAATGATATGGAATTTTTGATAGGGTTGCTAGGTTTATTGCTCTTTGTGTGAATAACTGGTTTACGAGATTACGATAGATTACAATATACTAACGAAGATTACAATATACTAACATATCTGGTAGCAACATTTTTCCAAATAAGTTCTGCCAAATCAGGTGGCTGGAAAATCTTCCTTTTGTGGAGCGGGCCATATTAAATTTTGACAGCATTAAAAGGTACATAGAAGAGGAAAAAAATTCTCAGCCAGCCGGAATCTCAATAAAAAATGTCTGAGACTGTGTTAAGGATCCGATAATGCTACCAAAATTAGCATTCTTTAAGCTAATTTCTGAAGAATTTCAACCTTTTCTTTTAAATTTTCAGACCTCCAAACCTCTCAGTCCATACTTATATTCCAGTATATTGGAACTANTTAATATCCATAGTGGTAATTTAAAGTATTTTTACTATTTATATCAGATATGATTAATAAATTAAATAAATTATTTTTTAGCTAATTCATTACAAAATATAGAGCATTTGACAGTTACTAAAGCTAACACAGAAGTAAAAAAAAAATATCCCTATCATAAAACACTTAGCTAAGCCTAACCATATACCCAACTCAGAAAACTATTCATAATAAATAGAACTTTGAAATTTATTCTTAAGTTTCTATGTAGATTTGTTCTTTAGATGTCCTTCTACCAGTTGGAATTAATATGAATAGTTTTTGCTAGTTTTTAATGATATTAGAAGAAAGTTCATCAACAGCTTAAACTAACATACTTTTTAAGTTGATCATTAACAGATAGTTTATAAACCTTAATTTTTTTTGTATCAGTTTATGAAGCTGAAGTAAAAATGCTTGCCTAGTAAATATCTGAATCCTAGTAAATATCTCTAAAAATATTAAATAAATTATCTCAACTTAAAAAGAGAAAGTCTATGTTTTTTAACATGTACCCATCTTACCTCACGTGATCCTAGATAATTTATTGATTAGAATATTTATTTCTTAATTTTTTTTTCAGACTGGAGGTCATATCACTGGTGGAGACATTTATGGAGTAGTCCGTGAAAATACTCTTATTAAGCACAAAATTATGTTGCCTCCTAAAGCCTTGGGCCGTATCAATTATATTGCTGAGCCTGGGAATTACACTGTAGATGTAAGAATATGTCAACATGTATTTATTATTTGATTGAATGTATTTTTCTTTGTTTGTGAAAGTGTTGATATTTAATATATTTTATTGACCAATTACCTTTGACTTAAGTTGACTTTTCTACTGTTTCCAATAAAAATGGGAAAATTATTTTATCATCGCTGCCAACGCTACTGGATTTTCCAGTAGACTACTGGGTTTTGCCAGTTTCTCCTGGTCTACTGGTTTAATTAAAATTTTCCTGTTTTTTGCACATTTTAGAAAATTCTCTAAAATTAAGCAAGTTTCCTAAAAAAAAATCCCTATTGAAATAGAATTTTTGTACAGATAATTGCTTGCTTGCTTAAATATTTAAATACGTATTACTGATACATAATGAAGCAAACCTCATTTATAGAAATCAGTTCAAAACTTTTTTTTTTTGTTCTAAAATGTTAAGTTTATTTTTATTCTGAACTCTTTTTGAATTAATTTAAAAAGTCTTTTAACTGTCTTTGATGAATTAAATGCCGATTAATATTCAAAATTATGAGTAAACAAAATACATAACATTTCAAGTATGTTTAATGCCGATCATAACTGAAAAAAATTGCAGTTTTTCTATTTTGATGACTATAAAAATCCCTAAAATTCACATTTAGTAATTATGCAACCACAATTATCATGAACTTTATGTTATTTTGTAAAATCTACTGGATTTTTTCCTATCCAGTAGATCTTGTCTGCCTAGTTGGCAGCTATGTTTTATTAATTATTATCTTATGAAGCTAGTTAATGTTTGTCTCTCTATCCTATTCTCTCTTCTTTTTTTTTTAAAAAAAATAATATATAGAATCCTGAGTGTCTGTATTTTTACTTATGGATATAATCTTCATAATATGATCACATGTGGTAGATTATATAATTGAGTTATTTCTGCTCTTGAATGCCAATTTCTTATAGATTTTTTGATCAAAAGTAGATGAAATGTTGCCCTACAATGGATACCAACTCATTGTGGTATCTTAGGAAACGAGTTCGCCGATTCGCTTGATAAGGTTGGATCTAACCTTCTTCAACGACATCCCCTTTCCAGTTACCATAGTATTTAAAGAACTATTACAGCCAAGTTTAAAGCCAGATATGAAGCTATTGCCAACTTAACTAGTGGGAACACCTAGGATTCCTTGTTGCATAATTCCATACTATATGATTTGTCCAGACGGGCGGATGTAACTAACTTCAGGATATTAACCGGACATGATTACCTTAGGAAGCAACTTCATAAAATTGGATTAGCGGAATCTCCGATTTGCCCACTCTGCCTGACGGGTTCTGACATGAGCAGTGATCACTCGAATTGCTGTCCTGGACGTCCGATGTACTAGCTGTAAATGCTGCAAAGAATTCTAATAATTTTATTTGTTCCTGAGCTGTATTGGGCTCCCTGTCATAAAGTAATGGTTGGCACGCCTAGGTTTGGTCGTATGATAAAAAAAAATCTCAAATCATAATCATACTTTTTCAGAGTAAAATACTTGTTTTGGTCAATTTACATTCTTAAACAGTTAGCTCCATTACAGACTATCATTTATTGCTATTATTTTTATTTTGTTAACTTATGTTTAGTTACTTTTTTTACAATATGAAAACACTTTGTTTCTCTCGTGAGCAATCAGGCTTACAAAAATGAAGGCATTCTTTCCTATAGTTATAAAAATTTATGATTGTTAATTTTAATGCAATTTAATATTAAACTTATTTTATCTAGGAAAGAAATTGCAAAATATATATCAGAATATCTTATTTTGAATTTTTAAAAAAAAGTTACCTACATGATTAAAGTAACTGGAAAATGTCCTCAAGCAATGTTTGCTATAGAAAAAATTGCCATAGGTTAACATTTTTCCTAAATATCTGTTTTATGGTTAGAGCTCACCATTTTGCCTGGGATAATTTTTTTAACTCTTTCTCTCAATTGAGAAGTAATGCTTAGAAAATTTAATACTTTCCCATCTGTTGGTAAATGTACTAAGGTGATAAAGTCACTAATATAAAGTCATTGGTTAGAGGTATGTTCTAATGTTTTTTAAAAAATAAATAAAGTAGCTGAATTTACTTGCCCTGCCAAAATGGAAAGGAACCTATTTTTTTTTCTTTTTACCAATCTGATTTTAAAAGTTCAACAGTTAAAAATTTTATTATTTATATTTTAGTAGATCACCAAAATGGCACTCATGTTCTAATACACAGTTGCTTGAAAAATATCTTAAGACTTTGTTACTCTTTTAGGCTTAACTTCAGGCTTAGTGACTTAACCCACTGACGGTTCTGCACGTAAAAAGTCTCATTTTAACCTGCAGTCTTCTCTGCATAGCAAAACCGGTTTTCCCATGTTAACTGATAGGGGAACTGAGTGTTGGGGAGAAACATTCTCCCAATTTTGCCCATTTCCTTAACCGCCAGTGGGTTAAATTAATTTTATGTATATTTTTATAATTTCATATTTTTATAATTGCTAGGAAGTGGTGCTGGAAACTGAATTTGATGGACAAAAATCACAATATACAATGTTACAAGTTTGGCCTGTACGACAACTTCGTCCTGTTACTGAAAAACTTGCTGCTAACCATCCTCTTCTGACTGGTCAAAGGGTGTTGGATTCCCTATTTCCGTAAGTTTATTTTATTGGTAAATAGCCGCTATCTGAAATAGTACAACTTTTTCTGCATAGCTGTTATATATATTGCATTTTGATGTGAAACAACTTTTTCCTAACGAAAATTTGAGTGACGAATATTTGAAATAGCATTAAAAAATAAATGATATTAAATCATGTTTCAAAATTAGATTACATTAAGAATAGACGCTGTTTAGAGAATATTTGTGAATTTGTTAAGTTAAAAACATGGTTTCAAAAATTATTTTTGAATTATTTCCCAATTTTACCTTGATCCCAGTTGGGCTCAAAATTGGCTCCATATGGCTTCTATATGAACATGCACCAAGGGAATATTGGGATGCCTAGATTTTTTATTATTGGTCCTATATAGGGCCAATATCGGCCTTTATGGGGCCAATATAGGGCCTATAATGGCTGAATTATGAAAATATCGTGTTAATCGGACAATTCTATATCGGACCAATATCTAAAAATAATGGCCTTTTGAACCGTTATTGAGCCAAGATTCATGAATATTGCTCTAATGAGGGTCCAAGTTATTTTGCTGCTTGCCGTGAACATAATTTGTATCAGCCAGCCACCACCGGAATTCGAACTTGGGGGAGAATTCACCTCATTGGTAGGTGAATGCTCTTTTGATAATTTGATACTCAGTAATCTATGCCTATCTTGATCTGCCTTTTGAAACTGATTTTCTGTTACTGCCTGTTTTTAAAACTATTGAGTTTGCAATTTTGCACATGATACAAAGTGAATATTTTGTGGCATTATAATGCTTTGTATTTGTCTAATCAAAAATATTTAAAACAAATAACATAACCTAAAAATGGGAAACAAAATGTTTAACTGGTCTTCTCATATTATCTCAACTTCACAGTACTTTTCAAGCTTTAAAATTACTCTAAACTTTTTGCTATTTTTTAATGTCTTGTCCGTTCTGCAATAAAGAAGTTTTTATTTATTTATTTTTTTGTTTCATTTACGTCGCAGGTGTGTCCAAGGAGGAACTACTGCCATTCCTGGTGCTTTTGGTTGTGGAAAAACTGTCATATCACAGTCATTATCAAAATTCTCTAACAGTGATGTTATCATTTATGTTGGTTGTGGAGAAAGAGGGAATGAAATGTCTGAAGTACTAAGAGATTTCCCAGAGGTGAATATTCATTTGATTTAATTGATAATTTTTATCCATCTTACATGTATTACTATTTTCTTAGAACTTGGAGTTTCTTGACAAATCGTCTAATTGCTATCAAATTATTGATTGTATGTTATCATGGCATTGGTAATTATCAAGTAAATTCTCGTCTGTCTTTTTGCTTTTATTTACTAAATTACAATAGAATTTTATAAAGATCCGCAACTCTATCTTAATCTTATACATTTCATTAGAAAAATTATTTAAATCATTAAAAAAAATTATTTAAAGGAAGAAATCTATTGTATTTGTGACTTCAATTTAAAATTGACGAGATAGTTCCTTTTTTTTGTTAAATTTATCAGTTATAGATTTATATCTATTATAATAATAATTAAAAAAATTTTATAAGTTATCAAAGAAAACTACATATTTATGTAGCAATTGAATAAGAAAGATTGAACTTCTAGTAAAAGTGTGGCTTCATGTGAATGATTGAGCTTAGGGTAACATAATTATAAACCACACATTTTTAAAAAGTGACATTTTTTATAACAGATTGTTTTTTAGCATTGTTACTATAATATGTACTGCCATAGAATAGAAAAATCAACTGATGCAACAAAAAATTCAAAATAGCAATTTCCATGTGTTTGGCATTTTTGTATGATGATAAGCCTCTTATTGTAAAAGATTTGTTTCAATATAAATTTTGTTTCATTTTTTTGAAATTCAGTTTTAGCTTTCATAGCATTAGCAACAGAATTCAAAAAAAAAAAAAAAAAAATGAAATNTAAAAAAAAAAAAAAAAAAAAAAAGAATTGTTGTCAAGTTTCTTTTCTCAAAATCTATTGTGAGGCACTTGCATTGTTTTTTGAAATTCAATTTTAGCTTTCATAGCATTAGCAACAGAAAAAAAAAAAAAATTGTTGTCAAGCCTCTTTTCTCAAAATCTATCGTGAAGCACTTGCATTGTTTTTTCAATTGCACAACAGTGTATCATTCAAATTTTTGGAAAGGCAATTTGATGCAAAGTACAGAGAAGCATCGCATTGAAAATTTCAGTGTTTTTCGCCAAAAATATTCTCACAAATGTCTTAATGATGCTTATCATTATATTGCCCTAAGCCTTTCAATTGATTGTAATATGTATATTTTTTTAACATACTAAAGCAATTGTTGTAATAACTAAAACTAAAGTGAGCAGTAATGAAATTTTTGTTAATAAGACATGTGATTTTTTGTAAATGGGCATTGGTTGATGCATATAAGGTACATATAAAAACAAGTAAATGTTCTATTTTAGTTGAATGTTGAAATTGATGGACATGTAGAATCTATTATGAAGCGTACTGCCTTGGTTGCAAATACTTCTAACATGCCTGTAGCTGCCAGAGAAGCCTCTATTTATACTGGTTTGTTTTATTAATCTTTTAAAAAATTATTAATCACTATAGTATAAAACTTAGACGCATAGACTGAAAAATCCCATTATCATCCCATTTTTAAATATAAATATAAATAAGCAATTTTGCAATGGTAACACTTAGATGTGAATGTTTCAGATAAGTTTTTTTTATTTATCCATGTATATTTGACTCTGAATAAGCAAATTATGTCCCCTGTGTTACTATTTTAATAATTTTACAACTTAAAAGTTTGCATAATTTCATTAAAAATATGTTGATTTGAGAAATTTATAGAATTCATTGCTAATACCTATTAGATCTAACTATGCTCAGCAGACAAGTAACATACGGGGCAAACTGAAATTTAAATTCTCTCACATGTTAATAAATTTTACAGAAACATTAAGTCACATGGAAATTTTTTGTCGAAATATTATTTATAATTTAAACCTAAAATAAACTAAGATTCTTATTATTTATAGTAAAAATCTAAGGTAACATAGGAAACATGCAAATCCCTTCAAAAACCCTTAATCATCCAATTTATTCCTAAAATTTCATTTCCTGAACAAATGGCTGCCTGAAAAGAATACTAAGAGCATAGAAGTGTGTGAGTGGCTATTGTTGCTAACTTTTTTATAAGTAATTCTAGTTTGAATTTTAAAAATAAGGCAGAGGTAACACAGGAGACAAATTTCTGGGATATATAAATTTTCTCTGAAAGAGAAAAAAACACTGAAAACTAATAATAATAAAAAATAAAAAAAACAGCAAGGAATGATATTTAGGAACACTGAAAGATAGTAAGGACCCTGAATTATAACTAAGAAATCATATTATATAAAAGAAATATAATGAAAAAAAGCTAAATAAGTTGCTAGGACAAAGCATTTTTTAGGATATAATTTTTTATAACCCAATTAGAACTGAAAAAAAGCAAAGTAACTCAAAGTTTTAGAATCATGTGAAAAAAAAAACATGAAATTTATTATCTAATGCTTACATTTTGTTTTGGTTCAAAATTATAAGAAATATAATAAGCGAAAGTCTCGGACTCTGAAAGTGTGCTTTATTTTTGGAATGACCCATATATATAAGAGCATAAAATTTATAAAATAAGCTAAAAATATAGAAAGAACATGGAAAAAAATATATAAATATTTTTAAAAGAGAAGCAGAAAAAGTTAATAAAAAATAAAATATTTTTAAAAATATTTAAAATTAAAAAAATGTAAAAAAAAATTACAATTTAAAAAGTTGGAAAAAAAATAAGAAGATACAGGCACCACAGACCTCCTATTTTCTTAATTTTCTTATTATTTTTTTATTTTTTCTTATTTTTTAAAAAGTCACCTGTCATTTCCACTATTCTGCTTTTGAACATAGTGACAGCCAAGAAAACAGAATAATGTCTCAAGGTCAAGTATTGCAACTGCACCTGTTTTTCAATTCATTCCTTTTGAATGGGGTGTGAGGAGGGGGCATAATTTGGTAGAACATGAAATCTTTTTTGTATATCAGCTTCTGTGTCTGCTTGCCAATTCATGTTCAACTGGAGTGGAAGAGAAATAAAATTGCACACAATAAAGAGGAATAAGATCATGATACATGTGTTTTTCCTTCTGATTTTGATTGTTTTAGCAAAATGTTGAAACTCATGTAAAATTCTTGATGGTAATTATAATCCTGTAAAGAATCACAGCAACATTGTCACAGAACACTACAGAGTTTTTGCAGAGAGATTTTTCTCCTAGGATGTAAAAAATGTTAAATTTATTTTTTACAAAAATTTTTGAAAGATTTTTCTTCTTCGCAGCAGAATTATATTCAAAAGATGCCTTATTCACGATCAGAAAGAAATGCTCAGGATTTTTCTCTTCTCATTAGAGAATAATGAAAACTAAAGAATAGTAAAGTAAAACATTTTGTTTTTCTTTTATCCAGAAATTTTCGAAAGGTATTTTTTTTTTTCGATCCAGATTTATTTTCAAATGTCTTTCACTGGCATAGAAGGGGAAGCTCGCATTTTTTCTATTTTCAGTTGTTAATAGTGAAAAATAAAGAATAATAAAGTAAAATTTTTTTTCTTCTTTTTTGCAGAAATTTTCAAAAAAAATTTTTTTTTTACTCTGCAGAACTAGTTTCAAACCATGCTTTTTTCGCCCATCAAGGGAGAAAAATTGCTCCTGGTTTTTCTATTCTTTTGTGAGAATAAAAAAAATTCCATAATGTTATAGATGTAATGTTATAGATGTTCTTTAATGTTATAGAATAGATGTGTGTAGGACAAAAATTAATGGAATAATTTAATACTAAGAAAGGTAGCATAGCTTTGAAAAAACTAGTTTATATTATCAGTGATATAGATTTAAGATATCCTAGTAAATAAGTTTTCAGAATTTTATGAGAAAAATTCGAAAGCGTAACAAAATTTATAATGCGATTTTGTTTGTGTTTGATTTATTAATTTTCTCTCTTTGAATTAATGAGTTGTGTTAGAGTATTTCATAAAAGTAATAAGTTTTTGTTGTTGTTTTATTTACATAAATATAAATCTTCTCCCAGGCATTACATTATCAGAATATTTCCGTGATATGGGTTGCAATGTGGCTATGATGGCTGATTCTACATCTAGGTGGGCTGAAGCTTTGAGAGAAATTTCTGGTCGTTTAGCTGAGATGCCTGCTGGTATGATTGTTATTATTTTTTATGGCATTTATATATCGTGTTACCAAAATTTATACATCATTTTATAAAAATGTATATAGATTTTTTTAAAAAATATATTGGAAAATAATAAATTTTAACAAATTATGCTTGTCCGATTTTGAATTAAACTACATTGTGTATAAGTTTTACGAAAAAATTTAATGAATTTATTAAAATACCTATATTTATATTTTGATATTAATTTTAATTACCAGAATTTCTTTATTATGACATTTTATTATATTTAAAATATCTAGTAAATTACTTTGAATATTTGGTAAAACTTTGAAATATATAGTATTAGAAGTGTACGTAAGCATGCATTTTTAGTTATTAATATAGGAATAATGTCTTTCACTTATAAATGGTTATAGGATTAATGGTAAATTTATAGACTAATCTATGCAGCAAATTTAAATTTCTATGTAGGTTTTTTCCTTTCATTCTTAGAACTTATCTTTTAACAAAATTAGTTTCTTGGTTAGGAAGGATAATGTAAAGTTTATTTTTAGTTACTTTTTTTTCCATTAACATCTGATAGAATTAGTAACAGGACTGCTTGGCTTTTTCAGCAGTTTAGTGATGCAAATTTTATATATTAAATTGATGGAGTTGAAATTTAACAAAGCTTACTTTAGAATGTGAATAGAGAAGTTTTTATCTCAAACATTTGAAACTTAAACATTTACTTTATAAAAGTAGTACATGTATTTTATAATTTCTGATTTATTCATTTATCATATGGATATGCTTTTTAATTTAAATGCCCCATTAATTTTGAGCATTTCAAGCATGTAAAATATTTATTATATTGTTGAAGAATTTCATTTTTATCTTTATTCCAAATTCTAATTCTTGATTTTTTTATAAAAAAGTAAAAAATATTTTAATGAAATTTGTTTTTAAACAGTTTTAATGTATAATTTTTTTAATGACTGATTTTTTTTAAAATTTTTTATTTTTTATTGTTTTTTTCTTCTTTGAAATAGCTCATCTTCATATTTAATCTAAGATATTATATCCCATTTTTTGATAGGTATATTTACCATACGTGTTTTTTTTAATTCCGTTAATAGATTCTGGTTATCCTGCTTATCTTGGTGCTCGTTTGGCATCCTTTTATGAAAGAGCTGGAAGAGTAAAATGCTTAGGAAATCCTGAAAGGGAAGGAAGTGTAACAATTGTAGGAGCGTAAGTATTATTTTCATGTGTTCGGAATTATATTATAAATTTCATAATATTGGATGCCTTTCACGCCTTTTTTCTAATAAAAAATTAATAATAATAAACAAAAATATAATTTAACATCTGCAGGGATCTGTCCAGGCCAAATTTACTACCGTTTAGCAGTACCTTCACAAAATCAACTTTAGGAAAAACGGTATTTTCACAAAATTCTTAATCTAAAAATTTTATTTTTGTATCCTGTAAGAAACGATAAATCCATATTTTTACCACATTTTTGCTTTGATTTTTTAATATAATTTTTAATTTTCCTAAATTATGTCTCAATTTTCACAAAATAGGTACCTCTCAGAAAAACCTAGACAGACCCTTGATCTGATTAGTTCTTTGAAATAGTTTTTTCCTTTGTTTAATCTAGATCTTTTAAACAAGCATTTTATTCTACATAGACAACAATTCATTTTATAAGCGCTCTGTAATGTTACTGTTATACTTATTATTAAAGTTAGTTGTATCTAGTTTAATTTTAGTTAAGTATGAGAAATACTCAAGACTAAACAAAAAGAAAATGTTTAAGTTTACTACCTTTTAAATTTTAAAATTAAGCTATTTCTTTTTTATCTAATTTTTTGTGTTTGAATGATAAACATGTCTTGCCAAACAAAAAGGATTCTTTTCTGTGAACAGAAAATATTACTATAAGTTGTGTTATTCTTTAGCTCATGATCGTCTACAAGTGTGTCAAATGTTGATAAAAAATCACAACTTCTTAGGTGTAAATCTTAGACAGCTTAAAAGATATGGCCAGATAATGTTAAAGGTAGCTTACTATCATTATTTTAATAATGCATTACGTAGGCATGCATCTTATTAATAACTAATATATACAATAATTAATATTTTGCAGTGAACTTGAAAGTTTGATGTAATCTGTACTTCAGAAATTTTTCTTTTTCTTTATTGATTTGCTATAAATCTAAGAAGTGTTTGTGTGCATATAGTAAACCTAGCGAAAGAAAAACAAAATATAAGATTAGGTTTAGGAAATAATCAAATGTATTTCATCGTTATGATATGGTTTACATTTCAATTTACAGAAAAACATTTATGTCTCAATTTATTGCATATTTTTTCATTAAACTTTATGTAATGAGTCTTTGCTTATAAGAAACTCAGTAAATGCTGGTAACGTTTGCAACCAATTAATTTTTTTAAGAATTTTGAAGGCATTGGTCAGAATCGATGCTTGTCATTGTTTTACTAGAAGTATTTAATTACCTAAATGATTCAGTGTCCACCATGGAGTCCCCTGCTCCACAATTATAGAATTTTTAGTGTAAATGTTAACTCTTTGGCACAGTTTTTTTTATTAAACAAATTTTTATACTTTCTTGCATTAATTTGATCAAACTAAGTGAAAAATATTATATATAGCATTTTAATGATTTATGGTTATAAAATACAGCATCTAACACCGGTGTCTTTTTCTGCATTAAAGGTACGTCTAAACGCAGCTCACTTCTAAACAATAATTTTTCAAATTTGCTATTATTTAAATCTAAGAGAACCAGTTATTTATCACTGAAATTTCTTTAATTTACAAAATCAGTTGATAAATGTTTTGAATGAATGAAATTTTTTTTTCATCCTTCTTTTTTTGGATTTTATATTTTAGTACAATTTTTTTTTTTTTTTTTTTGAAACANATTTTTTTTTTTTTTTTTTTTGTAATTAGTGTGTTAGAAAAAAAAATATATATAAGGAACACCTGTGTCCATCAAAGGGTTAATTAATGCAAGTGTGCATTTCTTTTTTTAGTATCATTTTTTATTTCAACTTATGTTGATCATTTATTATGGTGTTATGCATAATGTTCCAATTTTATTTCCAGTGTATCTCCACCTGGTGGTGATTTCTCAGATCCTGTCACATCAGCCACTCTTGGTATTGTACAGGTGTTTTGGGGTTTGGACAAAAAATTAGCACAAAGGAAGCATTTCCCTTCTATAAATTGGCTGATCTCATACAGTAAATATACAAGAGCTTTGGATGATTTTTATGATAAAAATTTTGCTGATTTTGTCCCTCTTCGTACTAAGGTAAGCAGTTTAAAATTGTTTTTAGATTTATCCTTCTGAATTTTTTTTTACTAATTATATTTACCTATGTTTTGTTTTATAAGACTCCATTTCTCTAAATGGTTTATACTTTTGTGAATAAAAAAATCTGTGAAGTTTGCTACAATTTTTTCAGTAAAACTTAGCTTTCTGTGTACAGATTACCAGTTAATGAACTATCAAAATTATTTGTATTAATTTTGGCAAATATGATTAACTTAGTTGTTTAAGGAATTTTTTTAATAAATAGCTTTAAAAATTTTAAATCACTGTTAGTATACTAAAACTTTTTTTAATGATTAAAATTAAAATTGCTGTATCTCTATCACCTTCGATTTATAAAGGCTAACTGATAAACAACTCATAAGAAATTAAGCTATAAATTATTTAAAAAAAAAAAAAAACTTAGGTTATTTGTTTATCTGTTTGCAATTTTTTTTTTGTACAATTAACATTTATTACTAAAATTTAGTTTGCACTTCGTATTGAGTTTCTATTAATAGACTGTGAAAATTACTGAAAATAAATGGTCAACATAATGTTTATCAATCTTGAGAATTTTTTTTTTTTTTAAAGTATATTTTTGACAAATTGTTAGAAAACCATTAAACTATTTGAGTTATCTGAAAATGTTCATTTTTTATAAATGTCTGTGACTCAATTATATAAAATAAACATTTACTCTCATACAATAAACAATGAAAAAAATTCAAGTTTATATTGAAAATTAAAATGGTTTCTGGAGTTTTTGCTGTTTTTTTTTTTCTATATTCAAGAAAGTAATTTTGTCAGTTTTATAGTTTTGACATATATTGTTTTTTTAAAATTTTTTTATAAGCATGTGTGTTGTTTTCTATACTATTATTTTTTTAAATAAGAAAAATTATGATCAGTTTGATTTGTTCTTAATTTTCAGTGAAGGAAATAAGAATATAGTTTGAAATTTCATAGGATTTAATTTTATTTAACAACATTTCCTTGTACTTATATTTCATTTTGCTTAGCTTTTACTTTTTTTTCAACTTGTTCAAATATGTTTTAAATTAAAATTTTTGTTTTATGCCCATCTGTGGTATTTTTTTATTACTCTGTTTTCAATAAGATAATTTTCTTCCATATATTTTAATGTAAAAATTTCAAATTTTTTTATAAAATTTTGTATTTTATACAAAATTAATGAAGAAAAGTTCTTATTAGTTTATCATTGTATATTGCTAGAATACGATTTTTTTTCGAATGACTCATTTTTTTTTAATGACTAAAATTTCAAAATATGTTATTTAATATACCCACATAACTATGATAATGACAACATATTTGAAAATAGGTTATCAAAATTTCAATCTTTCTACAATATTTATATAAGTCTTAAACTAATAATTAAAACAGGTGTTTTTAAAATTTTGCTAGCATCTAAAACCTTACATCATGTTTATCAGGTGTTCAGTTATTGAAGATTCGATATTTTTAATCTTTAAATTGTTTAAACGTGATTAAAATCATTTTTATTCAAATCGTAAAGCTTAAATTCTGCTAGGACGTTAAATATTTGGAAAAAATTTCCTGTTAGCAGGTAGTAGGCCCATGGATTAACTTAAAATTCTTTATTAAATCGTTAACTGGTGCTCATTTTAATGTTGCCTTTATATTTTATTCTTTTTACTTCAGTTTGACAAACTAATTTTTTTCAGACTCAACAGATCTTGCAAGAAGAAGAAGATTTATCAGAAATTGTACAGTTAGTAGGAAAGGTACATAAATTTTTGTATAATATACATTTTAGTATGTACTTCTAATTTATACAAAATGTTTTTTTTCTTCCACTTTTTATAATATATTTTATAAATATAATTGTAATATAATACAAAATCTTTTTTTTATTTAAATATAGTAAATTTGTAACAAAAGTAATAAAATTTTAAATATTTCATTTTAAATTTTAAAGTTTTTATTTCAAATATATATTTTTTTAATTGAAAGAAATAGCTTAATTTTTAAGTTTTCTTATATTATCATTTACTATTTGCAATAATATTTTTAACAAGAAATTTGTGTTTGTTTCTTTGCTAAGTTGAAATACTCTTCTTTAGAAAACATTAGTAGTAATAAAGTTTTCTGTTTTTTATGACTTAAAATTAATATTTTTTGAAGAGGTTTTTGTGTATAAATAAATTCAAATGTTTGTATTTTTATTTATTTTAAATTGAAAGTTTGACATCCAATTACTGAATAATTAAAACATAAGAAATTTTCATCGATTATAAAACTGAATTCTATATTCTGAAATAGTTTTTTTTTTTAAATGAATTTTTTTTTTTATTATGTAAGTTCAATACCTAATTTTGTCTTATTTATATTTTTAGGCCTCATTAGCTGAGACAGATAAAATCACGCTAGAGGTGGCAAGATTGTTTAAAGATGATTTCTTGCAACAAAATGGCTACAGTCCTTATGACAAATTCTGTCCATTCTACAAAACTGTTGGGATGATGAGGAATATGATTGCATTCTATGACTTGGCTCAGAATGCTGTCCAATCTACTGCACAAAGTGAGAATCGAATAACGTGGTCAGTTATCAGGGAAGCCATGGATAACATTCTATATCAACTGAGTTCCATGAAGTTTCTGGTAAAACATTTTATTGTTGTTAAAATAGCTATCTAATTTAGATTCAAAATCTTACATTTTATATAATGTTATATTTAAGGAATTATTTCTAGGAGGATGAACTATTAGCAATTAATAATTAATTTGAAAATAAGAATTTTAAACTTAAAGTGAAATCTAAAAACATGAAAATGAAATAAAAGAAACATAAACACAATACAGGATTTTTTCAGGGGGCTACATGATTAGCTTTTCTGGAAATTTTAGTTTAACAAAATAAAAATTGTATTACACTTTTGTTTTGTGAAACTGTAATTTACAAAAAGCTCCAAGGTAAATGCATGCAGTGTGCCCCCGTTCTGATGATATTCTGTTTTGCATTCATGTTTATTTTATTTTGAATATTTTCATTTGAAGTTTAATTTTCTAATTTTTAAATATAGTGAAAGATAAATTTTGGGCATATGCTGCTTTAGTCTTTGCTCAGTTTCAAAAATTTTATTATTATTCAAAATTTTATTATTCAGTTCTTATGCTGCATACTCATATTATTTTAACAGATTTTTATATGGTAATTAAATGGAATAATCAATAATTAATTAAGTAGGGAACACATAATTAAAGTACTCAGAATAGAAAGGGCAACTGACCTTGAATTTTGATGTAAATTTATGATGGTATACTACTTCCATCTATATTTTATATATAGAAATGAATGAATTGGGATTGCAAAAATTCTAATTTTCTGCATTTAGAAATTGTTCGAAGTGATAATGATTTTATTCTTATGTTATGCATGTGTTTAAAAATTTTAGGTAAGTTCTTGTCTGTCTTAGTTGTTAAGGAGCTGAGCTGTCATTCGAAGCAAACATACTTAAGTTTTTGCTTTTGTCTAAACTTTCTGTTTGAAAATAATCTGATTTTTTAGTTTAAAATTTTATTCCTTTGAAAAAATAAATTATATTTAATATTCCTGAAAGAAAGAGTTATGCCAGAAAACTATAAGTTTTTACAATTTTCCAAATAATCATTGAAAAACATCCTTTGATTTTTGAGAAAAATTCATGCATTATATTGTTGAGTATACTTTTTTTTTATATATGAATGAAGATGAAAATCATTTTTTGAGATATTAAATGAGTACTGAGTTTAGTATGTTCTTATTCATAATTGTTGTAAAATTTTCAATAAATTATAAGTTTTTGTTCTGTGATTAAATTCAAAACTTTCACTCGGTAAAATCCTAAAATTAAAGATTTGTTGAAAAAAATTATTAATATATTGTTAAAAAATTAATTAATATTACATTAATTATTAAAATAATTACTACATTATTATTAATTTCTTACTGATGTACAGGGTTCATACTCCTCCTGAAACATATTCAAAATTGTTTTTAATTAAAATTAATTATTACATTATTATTTTTTCTACTGATATAATTAATTTTTTTATAAAACGTTCTCATATTCATATTTGTTGTAAAATTTGCAGCAAAGTTTTGTTCTGTGATTAGGTGCAAAGTTTTGCATGGTATAATTTTAAAGTTGAAGTTTTTCTCAATTTTAAAATTATTATAGTTACATTACTATTCTTTTTATCTTTAGAGCAATTAATTGATAATTAAAAATAACTAAATGTTATAATTCAGAAGTATTGAACTAGCATTTTTTAATAAACCTTGAGCATAAATTAACCACCTCTTTGTTTGTTAAATAAGTTTTGTTATTGGTTTATAATGCAATTTTGACTTACCATAAGTCTTTATTCCAATTCCTTTTTACTTATACTTAAAAGATTCAATTAATAGTTGAGTTTGTACTAGTTTGTAATAGTTTGTTTCTACGTTAATGAACTGACATTAAAGCTAGTTATTTTCTCAGTCAGATTTCTTGTACTTAACTATATTATTCTTAAACAAGTTGCACATTTAAATCCAGTTTTTATTGTAGTCTTTGCAAATGCTAAATATTTTAAATATAAACTTATAAAATTCATTGAATTAATTTCCGAGAATTTTGCATGCTTAGATTTTTGTTTCAGCAAGTTTCACTAAATTCTTTCATTATTTTTAATAGGATCCCCTTAAAGAAGGTGAGAAAGAAATCAAACGTAGATATGACGAGCTTCTTGAAAACATGCAGCAAGCATTCCGAAACTTGGAAGATTGAATTTAAACATTTTTATCAGTGTACATTAGATAGCATCAAGTATACTAGTCAAGACAAGTTTAAAAGAACATTCCAAACTCTGTGGATGTTGTGGCAGATGTGGGATATTTTTGTTGTAATTTAAACGGAACACTGCCTTGTTGTCTGTTTATGTGTTTAGGTAAAGATTCTAATTGTAAAAAAAAAATATATATATGGTGTTTGCTCTGTTTAGGAAATTTGTCTTCATTATATATACTTCACATAAGGAATTGTGTCGAAATATTTTCTATTGCATATTTTGTAAACTCATTTTTTAGGTATTTCGCTCATACTTTTTAATTCTTAATAGTACTTAATGTAATTGTTCTATCTTTAAATTATAGTTTTGTGTTTTCAAAATATTTATTTTATTATTGTTATTGTTTTCCTCTAATTTCTGATACTTGAACGTTACCAAAGTACTCAATATCAGAGTACATTACCAGGGTGTTAAATGAGATCTGATATAAAGATACCAACTACTAAAGATTCTGCAATTTTTATAGATTTTAGTATCAGACTATGCAGTTCTTTATGAAAGCTGTAGAAGTGTCTGATATTTGAGTTTTTAAATGACTCCCTTTCTTCTGGTAATTTTTTTTCACTTTCCTTTTTTTCCATGGATTTCTTCTGTGATACCCCCCCCCCTTTTAATTTATTATTGATCTCGAAATGACTTATATAACTTATATTACTTTTTTTTTTATGGATATGGAGAAATTTATTTGGTTCTTAATAAAATTCTAAGTGATTCTATATTTTTATTATCTATAATTTTTCATCCTTATTTCTTTTGAAAATTGGATTTAAGCTTTATCATTTGGAAAAACACAATTAGAAAATATAATTTTTTTTTTTATTTTTAGTTTTTACTACTGTATAGTATTTTAGAAATTGTGTAAAAATTGTCTATTCGAATAATCTGAAAATATTGCTATAGTTAGTATCCCTGGTGATGTAATTTGATTTTGCAGTTTTAGTTGAAATCATGACGGTTTAACCATTTTTTCTCCCAAAAAATTTATTAAAGAGCAGAGAACAATTGATTTATTGCTTTAAGTTTGTACAAGCTCAATTTGTTTCGAAAATTTCTCCCTTGAAGTGAACTACTTATTTGCCCTGTGACAGCAAATGATCAGGTTTTCATTGACAAGTATTAACAAAACTAATTAGTTTTGGCATCGCAATATTCTACTAATTTTGTGAAATAATTTATGTATTATTTTTTTTAATAGTTTTTCTAATTTGCAATCATAGTTTAAAATAATGTGCATATTATTTTTCTGCATTACCATCAGTTAAAAATATCTTGCAATGTAATTTGGCATATATATATATCTATTTATTCATAATTTTCTCAAATATTTTATCCATATTTGTAAAATAAACTAAGTACGTGTTTAGTTTTTTTAGTCATGTAAGGTACAAACTACCATTTCAGATCATTATCAAACCAAATTTACTCACTGAATAATTTCATACATATACTTATTAATGATTTTGTGGAATAGTAAATACAAAACTTTAAAAAATTTGCTTTTTTTTCACTTTATAGGTTTTATCATATTTTCGTATGTATGCTCTACTTTTTTCGGTTATTTTGTTAAAATGTACCTTGCCAAATAATTTTCATTTGCAGGAAAAATTAACTACACAAAATTAATTTTGTGCAGTATGAGTGGAAGTTAATATTTTTTTTTATTTTGCCATCTCTCCATTGCAAAATAAATCACACTTTTTCTGTCATGGGGCTTAGTGGAAAATTTTAAGCCGACAAAAATTATTGTTTTCCTTTAATTTTATGCTATTTATGAAGGCCAGCCATATATTCTATATTTATTTATTTTTTGAAGATGATTTTATGGCAGCTTAATTTTTTAAATGATGACAATCTAATTTTTGTTGGCCAAATTATATAATGTCTAGTAACTGGAGTTGTTGATTATATTTAAATAACTTTATTTTATTCTTATGTTGATGTTTATGACTATATAATTCCAATATTTTTACGTTTTTGTTGAATTTCAAGTACACATTAGAGAGTTATGTAAGAATTTTATTGTGAACAAAAATATCGAAGTATTTTATTCCATTAATTTTACATGAAGAGCCCATTTCTTTTCTATTACTTGATTTGTATCTTTATATTCGGATGTGAACATATTTTTTTGAATGAAGTTGTGTTTTTAAACTCATATTTTATATGTTTTTGCTCATGTGTCACGTGTGTTTAATTGTTGATATAACTATGAAAATTTTCAACTTGTTAAATAGGCATGGAGTATAATTTATTGAATGCAGTGTGTCTGTCTATGTAATTTGACAACTTCATAAAATAAATAATACGTTCTAAGGAATTTTAGTGATGAATTGTGTTATTTTCGTCTTGGGAGAAATCATAAGTTTTTCTTGCCATGTGTGGTCTGTTTTAATTAGCAATGTACAAAGTATTTTAGGGAGAATTTTTTTTTTCACGCTGGAAAGATTAGAGGTCTTAATTCATGTGGCTTATGTGTAAGGGTGGATTTAGAATTGATAAGTGGATGAAATAAGAGTTAAAAGTGAACTTCTAAATCAAAGAGAAATTCAGACTTCCCTTTGCTATGTGCAAAATAGTAAAACTGAATACTTTTGATCTAACAACTTGATTTTTCCTTAATAATGAGGATATTTTTCTTAGTAAGGAGGATCTTAGTACGAGGGTGTGCCGGTAATTGTGCTTATTAGTTTTTGCAGAGATGATCTTTCAAGTCATGAAAACTGTCACAAAAACATACTTTCTATGAATAAATATTCTTTTTTAAACTGTAGTCTGGCCCATCAGGATAGACTAGTGAGGTGTATTATGTCTTAATATATATGCATCTTGATAGTTATGAATATTTTTAATTGCAGGAATATGGAAAAAAAAACTGCTTATGCATATTGTCTGTCTATGAAATTATCTATTTACAACACAAGATCTATTTTCTTTAATAGCGCTATCCTTTAGTTAACATGAATATGCCCATCAATATGAAATGAATTGCAAAGAGACTCACACCATTGAAGATTGTGCTGTACATACCTGATTTACGTATGTAGTTATTCTCCATTGTTTTTATTTCTTCTGCAATAATTATAAAAATATTCAAAATTATTTAGATGCGTAGATATTTATTTTTTTTACTTTTAAGCCAACTCTGAACACAAACCTGGGTTAAAAAAAGCAATAAAAATCAATGTTAAATTTTTTTTTATTGCGCAAGTTTATTTGTTTTTAACTGTTGTAGTTTAGAGATCAAGAGCTTAGTTTAGAAGAACATTTTTTTCCCTCTTTGACATAGTCTTGTGCGAAACTTCTATTTCGCGTAAAGAAAAACATTTTTTACTTGAAAATGTTTGCAAACTAAAAATGATAAAGTCATTATTGCCTATTTGTTTGTTTCTAAAATCAATTGCCTTTTGAATTCCTAGAACAGTTTTTCTAAGAATTTTTTTTTGGGTTCTTTTAAATTTTCGGTATGTTTAAAAATTAGTAAAACCGCTTTGAAAAATTTCTGATACTTTGATCTATTGATGTATCACAGAATAGTAAATAATTTTTTGCTTCTTAAAATGATTTTAAAAAACACAATTTTTTTCCAAAACGTGTTATGAAACATTAGATTTTCGTTGGTTTTTAATTTATTAACTCGATGGACACCTTTCCTGCGTAAGTTTTTTTTTATACAATAAAGTAAGCTTTCTTATGCTTGGAACATCATAACTTTCATCCTAACTCAAAAGACGAGGATTCTCTGTTTCGAGTATCTGTCTGAATTCACCTTTTTGAGAGAAACAATTTTGCATTTGAATCACATTGCGATTGAAAAAGAAAAAATTTCAATAATATTGATGATCAAGAAATCTGATTCATCAAGAAAAGGTTTATTTAAGTTAGTATCAGTTTTTGTAACTTAAAATATCGTCTGCGCATCGACCCTCGAACTATTAAGATAAATTCGAAATTCGTGACAATCCGATAATCAAATCAAAAGCTATAAATATACTTTCGTTTTATATTTTTCGATTCCTTGGGGTATTCATCCACTTTTCCTTCGAGGTTAATATCTTCCTTACCTGTACTATGCATGATTCTTTATCGCCTTACGAGATCGTCGCCAACGAAACCAATTATTTTTATTTTTTGAAATGCTATTTAGGCAAAGTCTGAAATAATCGTCCTGATGAAGTTATTATGTAAATGATGTGCATGTTACTGTGAATGACCGAAATCGGTGGTTGTTGACTTTCACCGGTGAATGTTGACAATCAAATTAGTCGCTTTGGTGAATGTCCGAAATATTTATTACATCCGATTTGATATTAATTTATTCGTGGATATAATTAAATTACATTTATTCGATATTTTAATACTTACTGACGATAGATTAGAACAAACATCATTGTTTGGAGTATCGAGCAAATATATACCGGGCAATGGCACTTGACTTTAAAAAAACATCAGTGTAGGGTATACCGGGCAGTGGCACTTAACTTTAAAAAAACAGCAGTGTAGGGTATACTGGGCAGTGGCACTGTACCTTAAAAAACATCAGTGTAGGGTATACCGGGCAAATGTATACTGGGCAGTGGCACTGTACCTTAAAAACATTGTAGGGTATACCGGGCAAATGTATTCTGGGCAGTGGCACTGTACCTTAAAAAAACATCAGTGTAGGGTATACCGGACAGTGGCACTGAACCTTAAAGAAACATCAGTGTAGGGTATACCGGGCAGTCGCACTGAACCTTAAAAAAACATTAGTGTAGGGTATACTGGGCAATGACACTTGGCCTTAAAAAAACATCAGTGTAGGATATACCGGGCAATGGCACTTAACCAGACCTAGTATGACTAGACCTTTGGTAAATATCCGAAATATGTACTAGGTCTAGTGCCACTTTTGCTATAGCTTAAATATTTAAAAAAAAATTAAACAAAGCGTTTGAATCAATTTTGCTTTATACAGCGCATGTGCGGAAATTTTTTTTTAAGAAAATTATCCAGGTGCATCTAAAAGTGGATGAATATCCCAAGACACCATATTTTTCGGGTTACTTGATCATCCTCAGAGATGCTTCTCAGACTCGCCAAGAGCCTACTCTAGTGCGACGTAAATAAAGTACGTATTACTATTATTCCACCACGAAAAGTTGGCGAAAAAACCTAGTGGAGGAGAGTTAAAGCGCACAAAATATGAGCGATTTCTTTTGGCGAGTCTTCCTAACTGGCATACCATTCGGATTCTTCGGAAGTAATTATTTCGATTTATTTATGATCCTATCTAAAATAGCTGCAGAAATTTTAAACATAAATGACGCCGCATACCAATGATTGGTGATGGAGCTTCCATTTTTCGAGGTATAGCACATACTGAAGTTATGGCTTGAGAAGTGCGTGATTAACACGCAATGGAGCTTTGGGATGAGTTTTTCTATCTCGTCTTATGACAAAGATGGAACTAATTTTAATACTTCTGCTGCCTAATATGCTGATAGTCCCGAATTCATACATGCGGTGTTTGTGTGATTTAACGGCTGCTGGATAGATTTTAAATTACTACTAAAATTCAATACATAAAAAACTTTGACAATATCGCGGAAATTTCTGGTAAATAGTTAAAATTGAAGTCAAAGTATTCCGGCGCGGACAATGTTTCTCTTCTATACACTATTCCCCTATCCATCAGCATGGATAAACCGGTTTTGCTATGCAGAGAAGACTGCAGGTTAAAATGCGACTTTTTACGCGCAGAACCGTCAGTGGGTTAAAACTAAGTAAGGTGTTAGGATTGCAGAAAGTCCTAATCCTAATCCTGTAGTTTGGCCGAGGTGCCTGAGGCCATAGGGCCCTTTACCTCTTCATCATGAGTTGCAGATCCTTCTGGTGTAACCTTGAGGTCTTTGTTCCTAGAATTGAAATTAGAAAATTAGTATGAGCCATTGCTCAGGTATAATCATAAAGATGATTTAATAGTAAAATTATGAGATATTAGTAAATATTAACATAGTAAAATAAAATAAAGTAGAAATATACATGATAATACATAAATATGCAATTAGAAATAAGAAAGTCCTGTAAAGAAAAAGTGGAGATTATTATTGACTCCTGATTAGGAGTCTGTTAGATTGCTCGCCAATAAAGCAAAAGTCAAGATTATAATGACCCATTATAGGGTATGGTCCGATTTATAATTATGAGGTATGGTCCATTATGAGTCGTATGATTCAGATTGTTTTATATTTGTCCGTGATTTAGTCATGTCCGAGTTAATTGTCAATATTCAGTGCCATTATATAAAATTATAGTGCCATTTTAAGGTTATTTGCCATTATATTTTGCTGCCATTGAGTTAAACTCACATGGTCAGTATGGCATCACTTGTAAAAAAGTGAGCCACTGGCTCCTCATGATAGAATCAAGTTAACATGTCTTATATACTGGTGAATTGGTATTTATTATTTATAGTGGTAGTAACACCACATACTCACCGATACTAAAATGATGTGCAGGTTCCTGTTATGGTAGTACATCAACTGCATTGAAATGGTTATCTCATCGTGTGAAAGTATTTTTAATGCTTTAATTTTAAAGGAAATGTTATTATTAAATTAAGAAAACTGATCCGTTTCGTCTATAAAAAAATTTCATCCGATCATCCTCTTCATCAACATCGCCGCCATTTTTATTTACATTTGTATACGTCATCACATAAAATTGAAACGTCATAAAA